CTCAGCGGCAGGCTCAGCGGCAGGCTCAGCGGCAGGCTCAGCGGCAGGCTCAGCGGCAGGCTCAGCGGCAGGCTCAGCGGCAGGCTCAGCGGCAGGCTCAGCGGCAGGCTCAGCGGCAGGCTCAGCGGCAGGCTCAGCGACAGACACGACGGGTTCAGTGGCAGGTTCGACGGCGGGCTCTGCAACGGATTCGGCAGCCTCTGTCTCCTCTATGTGCTTGGTGGCTTCTTCTGCGGACGGCTCCTCAGCAAGATCCTTGGTGGGGACCTGCTCTGCTGTGATCTCCTCTTGTGGCTCACTGACTGCGGGCTGTTCCGCGGGTTTCTCTTCTTCTTGGGCTTCCTCGACCGTAGCCGGGGCTTCGGCGTGCTTCTCCACAGCAGGCTCATCGGCCGAGGGATTAGGAGTAACCGCTTCAGCGGCCGCCTCCTCGGCAGCTGGTTCCTCGAAAGTTGACTTCTGAGAGGGTTCTTCAGAAACTACGTCTTTAGGACTCTCATCGTGTGCGGCAAGTTCATCAATAACAGGAGTGGCGACAGCCGCTTCGGTCACAGCAGGTTCTGACGGTGCAGTCTCCTCGACAATGCTCTCAGCCACTGATTCCTTAGGGGCTTCCTTGACGGTGGACACATCTTCCTGCTGCTCTTCAGCCGCTACCACCTCGGTAAGTTCATCTTCAGCAGGGGCCTGAGTAGTGGCTTCCTGCTCAGCAGGTTCAGTTACCTCACTGGCCTGCGGCTCAGAGACTGGTTCCTCCGTCGCGGGCTTCGAAGAAACTACTTCCTCGGCAGCAGAAGGTTCCTCTGCTGTCACGTCCTTAGGGGCTGCCTCTTCAGCGATCTCCTTCTCAGCAGCGGCTTCCTGAGCAACCGCGGTTTCGACAGGTTCTTCAGCAACTGGTGCCACGGCTTCGGGCTCCTTGACTGTCTCAGGCTCAACGGCCTCCTCAACCGGGGCGGATTGAGCTGTTTCCACGGCAGTTGGCTCTTCAATAGTCACTTCAGTGACCTTGTTTTCTTCAAGAGGTTCGTTGCTGGTCTCCTGGGCAGCGGCTTGTTCAGTGGTGGGCTTCTCGGAGGGGCAATCCTTGCAGAGAGTAGGCTCGTCAGCGGGCGATTCGGACTTTTCAGTAACGGCAACAAGTTCTTCAAGTGCCTCCTTCACTTCAGGTTCCTCGGCAGGAGCCACCTCAGGAACTGCTTCCTGGGTAGCAGTAACTTCGGCAGCCTCATTGATGGTCGACTCTTCGGTTGCTTGCTCTCCGGTGGTCGCGATGGGTTCTTGGGCTGGTTCAACAGTGGCCGGCTCTTTCGCTGCAGTTTCGACCTCGGCAGATTCACTGGCAGGTCCAGGAATGGCCGTCTCAGCAGCTGGTGCCTCTGGCGCCTCGGGAGCAGCAGCAGCTTCATCCTTGGACTCAGCAGCTTTTTCCTCGATTGCTTCGACCTCGGATTGGTTTGCGAGTTCCTGGGTAGCAGGGTGTTCCTCAACCTCTGGCTCTTCAGCTTTTGACGCTACCGCAGGCTTTTCGCTCGAAGCAGCCTCCTCAGTCGCAGAAGTTTCAGCGGCAAAATCTGGGACTACTGATTCGCTCACTTCCGATGGCTTGGAAGACTCTTCAGCAACATCCTGGGTGAGCGGCTTATCAGCCACGATCTCGGTAGCAGCTTTATCTTGAACAGGTTCTTTGACTTCTGCTTCGACAACGGCTGGTTCTGGCGCTGTTCCGGTCACAGGCTCTTCTTTTGCAGCCTCTTCAGTTGTGACTTCCTTGGGAGGTTCCTCGGCGGGAACAGTTTGATTTGGCGTCTCCTCGCTGACTGGGTCTTTGGCAGGCTCCTCTGCAGCAGTGGACTCTTCCGCTGGTGCTTCGATGTTTGTGGAAGGTGTCTTCTCAACAGCAGGTTCTTCCGCTGCCTGCGCTTCAGGTTCCTCGGCGGCTACCACTTCAACGGTCTCGTCCTTAGCTGGTTCCTCGGTCTCCTCGGTCGAGGTAGTTTGAACCGCAGGCTCGTCACTGACAGGTTCCTTGGCGGGTCCTTCAGTAGCGGTAGACACCTCCGTATGTGTCTCAGCCTCCTTGTCGGTGATTTCTCCTACGGCTGCCACTTCGGTAGTGGATTCCTGTGTTGATTCTTCGGGGTGAGGTACCTGAATTGTCGGCTCATCAATGACAGGCTCCTTGGCGGACTCTTCGATAGCAGTAGGCTCTTCCGTGTGTGCCTCAACGTCCTTTTTGATGGTTTCATCAGCGGCTGGCTTTTCCGTTGCCTGTGCCTCGGGCTCATTGGAGGCTGTCACTTCCGCAGTAGGGGCTGATCCCTCTGTGGAAGCGATCTCAACAGATGGCTCCTCAACGACAGTCTTTTTGGTAGGCTCTTCGGCGACGACAGGCTTTTCTGCAGATTCCACCTCAGGCTCCTTTGCAGAAACTGCCTCAACTAGGGTCTCCTTAGCCGGTTCTTCGGCAACAGCTTCCTCGTTGATTGGTTCCTTGGAGGATTCTTCAACAGCTGGCTCCTTTTCAGCGTCAGAGGCAGTCTCTTCGACCTTCTCGGTTGTCGATGGATCGGTGACAGGGTTCTCTGTAGCAGCTTCCTTCTTAGAATCTTCAGGAGTCTCCTCGGGGACGGAATCCTTGATCGGTTCCTCAACAGCGGCCTCGTCGGTAGCCAAGTGCTCGACACCGGAAGCCTCGACTGGTTCCTCGGTCGCCTTCTTCACCTCGACAGACTCTTGTGCTGGCTGTTCATCCACATGGTTCTTAGAGGGTGACTCATCCTCGATGGTCGTTTGAACCGTCTCTTCAGTGATAGGCTCCGCGGGCACTGTTTTCTCGGAAGATTCTTCGGCAAGTGGCGCCTCATCAGTGGCTGTCTCTGTAGGGGCCGTCTCGGCCTGTGTCGGTTCGGCTGAAGATGGATCGGCTGTGTTGGATTCCGCAACAGGCACTTCCTCCGTCACTGTTTGCGTGGGCGTAGCTTCTTCCTGAGGCTTTTCGAGGGCGGACGCTGGCTCTTCTGATTCTTTGGCGGCTTCCGTCTTTTCTTCAACTGCAGCAGGGACAGTCTCAAGTTCTTGCGGCTTCTCATCTTTGACCTTCTCAATCTCCTCTGAAGACTCGGTCTTCTCGGCTTCAACCAAAGTGCTGAGAACCTTTTCAACCTTGTCTTCTTCGTCGTCTTTTGCCGTTGTTAAAGAAGCCTCAGCCGCCTTGTCTTCTTCCACTGGCTCCGCCTTCTCCGCAACAGCATCATCAAGTTCTGATCCAGGAATCTGCTCAGCAGAATGTGTGCCGTTGGTCTCAGGTTCTGCGGTTGTGTTTGAGGCAGGCTGTGTTCCGGCGTCCTTCTGGGTGTCGCTCTCCTTGGATGTCTCGGAGACAGGCTCCTGCTTCACCTCGTGCGCCGTGGGTTCCGACTGAGCGGGGAGACCTTTCTCAGCAGCCACAGGGATATCAGTCTCCTTTGGCACTTCATCTTTCACCGTCTCGGTCTTCGAAGAGATTTGCACCTCGGACTCCTTCGCGATTTCCTCCACCTTCTCGCCGGTGCCATTCTCAACAGGAGTTTCGCCTTCCTCCTCGACAGCCTTATCTTCCGCAGCAACAGGCGCCGCAGCGGATGAACTCAAGGCAACAGTGAGGAGATTGTTGACGACGCCTTCGTCGTCAGCAGCTGTAATTACGAAATTAGTCAGTTCCGAGATCCAAAGTACCAGGCCCAGAGATAAACTTCGTACCATGCTTAACATCCTCATCGTGGAACCACGGACCGTCAGAACCCTCCCTGAACCGATACTGATATTGACCTTCGGGCAATTCAACATCCCGGGAGAAGAGGTATGTCGTAGTGGACTTCCCGTCCGCATCCGTGTGCTCTATGGGTTTGGCGTTGAGTTCCAGGGGCTCCCATTTGGGATTCGAGAAGGTCCCCGCAACGTAGATGGTGGGGGTCTCCGTTGGACGACGGATGGAAATAGTGACGGTCTCTCCATTGGTGAGAGCCATTATGGTCATAAAGGTCGTAACAGTCGTTAGGTATCACAGACAAACAAAACAGGAAAAGAGATCAAACGCGAACAGGATTGGAAAACAGAGGACTTTATCGAATCGACTCTTCCACGATTGAACAAAGTACCCTCAAACAGCAAGAGATGAAATAGTATACAGTGACGCGCGGTAGTTGGATATGACAGAAACCTCTCAAAATGAACAAGTAGACAGGAAGATGGGGTGGTGGGAGGTTGTGAGAGGTATCGTCAGAGGGGTTGTAGGACCAAGCGTAGATTGGTCCGATAAGGGAGACTTTTTAGAGAGATTGCGAAAACAAACAATCGAGGGGGGTCAGACGAAGAGGTTAACTAAAGGAGATAGATGAATGAGGAGAAGGAGCCAGGAGCCAGGAGTGCAGGTGATTCACAAGAGAAAAAAAAAATGCGGTCCCCACGGAAAGCAAAGGACGGATGGAGAGTCCTAAGCTGTATGTCAAAGACGGTTAGAAGCTCTCACGACTCGGGCATAGTACCACAAAAAGTAGCACGACTGTTGGCCGTTAGTTCTTACTATGCAGTTAGTTAGCGGGGCAGCAGCAGTTGTCACAGTGATCAGGCCCCGCCCGTTATTCGGGTGCTGCCAGACTGAGCTAGCGGTTTTTCGAGGTGAATCGGATGTCATGGAGTAGTCTAGCTGTAGCAATAGTAGATAGGGGATAAGGAAGTCACGGAATGAGAACATCTTGAATTGAATCCTGATCGACTCGGACTCCTTCAGAGATCAACTGCAGATACATCGAGTCTCCGCCAGCATCAATGAATATGATAGCATGTTTCTACATCCATACAAACCTGCCTAGGTCCGTAGGTTACTGATAATTTTGCGCAGATCCTTAGACTAAGCCATGAAGGCTCGGGACTGGCGCCAGAACAGAAAATGCGGTGAGTTGGCGGCTTCCCTGCTGCCAATCACATTCCAAGTATTTTCTACATAGAGAAGATCAGGTTGCTTTGTATGATATCCTGCTTCTAAAGTTTACTCTGTCTGGTTCTCACAGGCCTGCAATAGAATTTCACTAAGGCATGTTGTGCACAATGTTCGAGTCAAAGGAAGAGAAATCTCTTCATTCAAGAAAAGGGGAGGCATGAGTGGATTCGGTATCAGCAAAATAATGGTGTGTGGCGCCATACAGTCCCATCTCTACTGCTAGTGATTTGGTAGGACCCTCTATTATGCCATCATGTCATGAGATAATTTCATGTTATTATTGCATTATCCAAGACAAGGACATTTGAAGTACAGTATGGAAGGATCTGATTCGGCCAGTCCCTGAACTACCTACCATACGGATAGGTAAACCATGGTTCCCAGAAAGAAACTTCAGTATATGCAATGCAGCACTAAAGCAAACCCTCGTCTTCCTCCAGACTCAGTCGCTACGGGTATCCATGTGCTCATACGAATAAAGGGGCTCCTCTATGAGTCAAACCTCCAACCCACATCTCGATATTCTCGTCACCTCCTTTCTCCTTTATCCTTGTTGCTATTTTTGCTTGTCGTCTTCAATGCTGTCGGCGTGGTGGATTTCTCACGAGCCATGGAACATCTTCCTCGGTTATTTGTCCAACCGACAGGGTGGTCTGCGTAGCCCTCTTACTCAGAACAGCCCGTGTAGAGTGGCTGACATTTCCATGCGGGATACTCGATCAGTCTATGAGAGAAACTCTCTATCTATCTGCATGGCACTGCCTATTGTCTGGTAGACGATCTCGCGACCACCACGGCAATCCTGGTTGCTTTAGCGCTGTCGATCGTCGCGTAGGTGCTGCAGGTGTTGATATCTGATACGAAATAGTGTACAGACTAGGAAGTACCTTGTAGAAGATGTCAATAAGACCTAAATAAAGAGTCATTTATGAATCATGACTGACACTGTAGGAGAGACTAGTACTAGTTAGAGGCTTAATAGATGCTGCTCTTAACCTAAGAATATAATGTAAAGGTTGCTGTCTATTAGAGATCAGTGGTCCCCTGTCGAGCCATTTTTCATGGCAACCTCAAAAAGCAATGCGATGCAGTCATAACGAAAACCACAAAATGAGACGGAACGACGTTTATTAGCACAACAATGAGAAGTTCAATCGCACAAACCAGGTCGCTGGGATAATAGGACACAATCGCAAGAGATCTCGGAAACACCGGTGCACACCTCTAACAGCATAAAAAGCGTCCTGAAAACCAGAAGGAATCATCACAAGAAGAACTGCAGGCTGCGACCACACCAACAGAAAAAATGAGGACGAAGGTATCTTAAAAGAAAACATAGAGTAAAAAGAAAAGCATTGACGTCAATATATCTCCAAATCCTCAAATTCCACCACCAACCCTTCCTCAGAGCCGGCCGTGCCGCTGCTGCCCGGCATTGGACCGTTCATCATCGCCCACATGGTGCCGTTCCGCGAGATATTGGTCGGGCGGCTAGCATATACACCCACATGGACAAACTTGTCTTCTACCCCGTAGAAGAACCATGTCACTTCTCGTAGCTTTTTCCACGTGCAGCCCACAGCACCTGGTGTCCTTGCAAAGGGTAAAAGGGTTGGAATCTGATACCAGACCACAAGTGAATGACCAACGCGCTCGAACTTGATCCGCAGAGAATGCACCGTCGTCGGTCTATTGTCAGGCAGACAGAGGGGCGACACACACCAGTCAGCTCCGTCAGCCGTTGCACTGACTGAGGATGCGTTCACTGTCCCCGAGCAGAATTCCATGCCGGCTTTGACCCATTTGCACGGCCGCAGAGACCGGGATATCCCGTGACGGCTTAATGGCGCCACTGCTGATATTGGCGCGTTCTCTGAGGAGAATGACTGAGGTGCGGCTCCGGCGAAAACAACGATGCCCCCTTGATCGGATTCCATCTCCCAGTCCGCACTCACAGTGACTTCTGCGACCACGAAAGGGTTTCGTAACGTAGTGAAAACGATAGGCGCCGTAGCAGTGTCTCCATTGGGTGGCTTGCGCCAGAGATCCGTGTTAGGACCGGCAGTCAGAGTAAAGTACTCCATGCATTCTGGGAGTGAGAATGTTGAGGGTAAATTCAATGTACTGAACGAAGAACCATGAGGAGGCATTGTCTCTGAGTCGCCTGGCTGGCCAAGAGTCCCAAATTAGGTAAAATCTGCCTTTTGAACCTTTTACTCAGAGTCAAGCCCTGTCTTCCTCAATGCAAGAGTTGAATTTGGTGGCAATTCCTGCGCTATATGAGTTTTCGAACAACAATAGCCTTGAAGTCGTTCTGAATACAAGATGGTGATGAAAGGAAAAATACAGAGAGACAGAAGGCAAAGGATGATCGGGTTATGATGGAGAACGGGTTCTCGTCACAATAAGAAGCAAGGGAGGGAGCTATACTTCTCTCTCCACGGGGTCACCCTATGCCGCGATTGAATGCGAGCCAAGGATCCCAATAGTATAATGCGAGGGTGAAGATTAAGATCAGTGGTGAAGAAAGAGCGCAGACATACCCAGTCTCGGCGCAATGGAGCAATCAAGCTAGAAAAAGTAAAGAGACACTTCGAGAAAAGAGCAAATTGGATTGAGCAGGCCGCTCAGATGCCGAACGATCGAAGACAAAATTCGACGTTGTGTACTCGACAGCACGATACAATTCGAGCAAGGAGTCAGAATCCAAAGCAAATATAAACCTCAAGTTCTCAAAAGTGACCTTGATTCGAAACGCGATGTTGTCAGAGGCTCGGGAACAACTCGAACGGCTCTATTGCAGATGATGAATGATTCTAAAGATCCAAATCGAGTCATCATGTAATCGCAAAAATGCAGAGAAGAGCCAATTTATAGAGTCAGGGGAGATGCTCTGCTTCTCTCCCCCCCTTAACTGGGTACGCTCGATTCGGACGAACCGCTGTGCTGGGAACAGGAAACAGGAAAACATTGCTTTGTTGGTCCCGACATGTCGGGTTTCTGTGTTCTAGCACTTCTTGCTTCGATCTATGCCTCGATTTTTCTTTCAATTTCCAATGTGTGTGTTTTCTGTGATGCTGATTTGCCATTCATGTGTAGTTCTGCCGTCCAGTTGCTGCAATGCAGTTCACGAGTGGCGGGTCAAGCTGCAGTTCTTGGGACAACAAACAGCCCAGCAGGTTTACGCAAGTGATAAGTTGTGGGGGGGACATCCGATCCCGAACAGCTGAAAAAGGTAAAACAGTCAGGGAGCTTTGGTTCTGAGATTGGTCTAGTTTATGGACCTTTTGGCACAAGCTGAGAGAAGAGAAGGAAATCTAGTGGAAGGGTTTGTCAAGTGTGGAGGGTGTTAGTTGCTATTTATTTGTTTCGCCACTGCCAACACAACCCTCTGCCACTCGGAGTTGGCGATATCATCGTGCCCATGTGCTCAGAGCTGAAGTCAGACTGATTGTTCACCATTATGTCTTACGCCACACTTGACGTCCGAGTTCTTCAACCATTCTGAGTTCTATCTTGCCATCGCGGTCACTGAAGCACAGCCATTGCCAAGGGGACACTTTTGTGGCTTGTCCATTGGACGGACATTGAAGGATTTAGCCACAAGAAGCGGATTCGTCTATTAATCGGAGTCCTCGTTTCTTATCAAGGGTTCCCAGTCTTTGAAATCTACCTTTTTGTCCTCTTCAACCTGTCGCAAGCTTGCTTGTTCTTGTCTTGGTTGCTCTCAGCACACAGAAGAGCACGAGCAACTTGATCCGAACTGGCTATTGCAGGTGAGTATGAGTGGCTATCTGTGCTCAGTTTGAGCGAAAATGGCAACTAATGACCTTCTATGTGTCTAGATCATTTGTTCAATGTACAGTAATACATCCAGGTTTCATTCAAGCGATAAGCATGATACACTGGTCTATTCTGCCTCTCGGAGTCGATTCAGAAAACGACACTACATGAACGTGAAATGCCACATACTCAAGCTTTGATGTTCTTGAGAACACGTGCAGTCAAATATCAAAAGATGATCAAGGGTGTAAATCCTCGAATTGCATTGACATATTTATGATGCGGGCATGCCATTTCATGGCCAACCAGCAGTTCGGCACTCCGGCCGCATATATGTCGCTCAAGCAGAACGAGAAATCAGTTCCCTAGCATTGTCAACAAACGGACTACATGGGGATCTCCTGGAATATTTGGGCAGGAGCTTTAAAAGGTAGCAATAGATTGTCTATGGACATAGAGCAGTGTCGGCTCGGGTTCGAGCTCATCTTTATTCAATACACCATTAGGAATCGGTAATGGCACACGGCTCAAGTAATAACACCTTGAGACTCCAAATAAGGGTCGTTCCTAGTGGATCCTGCCCTATGTTTTTGAAAACTTTAAGTTAGCCTGTAAAAGCCTTCCGAGGAAGATTGAGATAGCGAGCTCCCGGCATCAAAATAACGATCAGATTAAGAATTGAAGAGGTATGTGAAGTCAACTTATAAGCGACGAATAGTATCAACCAGTTTTTCTATTCTGTTCCCTTATTGACAATGGCTGTTATCGGACTTAGTGAGCGAAGCCGGGCAATTTGGTTCCTCTGGCTCTTAACTCCTCTTGGCCTGCTGAGCGCCTTACAATCTGCCAAGCAAAAACAACCTTCGAAAAGAGGCTTGAGAGTTGAAATTTTGATGCCATCTGGGCCAAAGATTTCCACAAACTCGCTAAACTAGACCCGAATCAACCCAAGCGTGACTATGTTGAAGTGCGATCTTCGTGTTTTTGCTTCCTCATGCTCTCCACGGCCCAATAACGTTTGTGCTGAGCCCCTGGGACCTCGTATCCCCAAGTCTGAGCCTCCAGCCGTTCATTCAGCCTCGTCGGCAACAGAAACAATTGCAAGCCACAAACCAGCATACTTTTTGAAGCCCAACTCCCTATCCGAACACTTGAAAATGAGGTGCCGTCGCTGTTTCTGTGCCGCGTCCTTCAACAACTGTCCACAACCTTTCGAGAGAGACACGTTATTTGCGCGGTCATCCTCAACAGAGAGCGTGTCTAGAAGCTCATCATGTTGTTACCACGAAAGTCTAGGGGCTCGCACTCCTCTAGTGGTTATTATTACTCCAGCAGTAATGACTCGCCATGGAACGAAGAGATCACATTCTCGATGGACAGCCTCTATGCAAGCAGATCATACTTCATTGCACAGCTTGTTTTCGAGTTCCTCACACTGGGAGTGCTGTTTCTCTTCCTTTTCAGCTGTTTCTTCATCAGACAGCCTAAGGCGCTGCCCAAGACTCTCCCCAAGAAGGGTCTTGTCTTCGGGATCTTGAGCTATATCCTGTGAGTAGAATAACCGATTCTCTGTCGCAAGAGAGAAATAAACCAAGAAGACGAACCTAAGTTCTAACTTTTTTCTCTAGCTCCGAGCTCCTTACAATCCCTTACCTGTTCTTCTATCTTTGCGAGGTCACAGTGAAGCAGAGCTATGTGGTCATGTTGATGCTCCAAACGATATTCTGGCTTCTGGCCCTGTTTCTCATGTTCTACGTCTTCTACAGAGTCATCCAAGCATATCTCAACCGAATTGCGAACGGTGGCAAGACCTTCCTTCCTGTCTCCATACTGCACTGGATTTTCCTGGGTGTTTTGGGGATTCTCATGGTGGTCAATGCTGCCATGTACATTGCTCTCCTCGTCATGGATGTCAACGGAAGCTACAGCCAATGGCAAATTATCGGACACTACCGCAGGATCGTTGAGGCTCGCATCATCATCTCATGGCTGATGTCTCTGGAGATTCTCGTGTGGACAATCTTCATCATTGCGAAGTCGAGATTTAGCAGCAAGGTATGCGCGAGCTTGTTATCTAATCTCGTGCCTGTCCGCTAATAGCCTTTTATCAGACCGGATCTATAACCCTTGCTTTGGCAGGCTTCTTCCTCTTCGTGTTTTCCCTCGAGCAACTAATCGTGACAATCATGTACAATTTCGAAGCGAAGACCCCGCCTCTGTATTTGAACTTGGCCACCTCAATCGTTGCCTTCTTTTGCACAATCGGCATATACTTCGGTCTCATCTTCTGCTGCATCCAATGGTGCAAGGCCAGCAAGATCTATTCTCAAGAGCATGCTCAACATGCCCAGCTTGCTCAGCCTCCTCCTCCCCCTCCAGCACCTTACGCTCCCATGTCCTCATACCAACCATATCAGCCGCCGTCACCACAGCCCCCTAGCCATCCAGCACATTCCGGCTACTCGAGCCCTGTAAGTGGTTACTCGAACCCCGTGAACGGCAACGGACAATTCTCTCCAGCCGAGCTTCACAGTGAGAGCGATGCTGGATCGCATGGGCTTCCGCCTAACCAATCACACTATCCTCACGCGTGAAAGGAGGGATCTCAATAAGATCAGTCGTCTTTCTCGCAAGAACAACTTTCCTAATGCTATTCTCATGATACCATTTGCGTTGGATATTTTCTCGGTTTGAGTTTTCAGCGCTCTAACAATATTGAGCGATGAGTCAGACATAACCTGTCTCAACTTTTCTTTATCATTGACGAAACATACGCTATGCATATAATATAAACCATCTATTAAAATGAGAATAATTACAAAGACTTTGCATATAACATTTACGCCCACTACAGTAGTCTGCACAGACCAGCCACGCAGGGTGCATTATAAGCCAGTGCCGCCACTCTCCACCACCCTGACATCAAACCCAAATAAGCGCAACCCAACCTAGACTCTGAAGCAACAACCATCAGAACCACAACAACCACGAACACGAAACACAAAACACAAAATAAGAATCATGGTCTGCGCAAAATGCCAAAAGAAACTCAAGTCCACGGAGCTGGCCACACCAGGTGTCAAACGCAAAAGTGAAATGTACTATGGCTCGCCGGCGACGACACTAGGCGGTGGCGGCGGAGCTGGCACTGCTACGAAGTCCAAACCGACGTTGGGAAATACAGGTATCGGAAAGGTATGTTCTGTTCTGTTCTGGTTTTTTGTCTCTGCTTTCGCGCTGTTTGTGTTCGATGGTACAGTGATATCCAAAGTGATCAAGACTAACAATGCATAGAGTAAACTGCTCAGCTCCAAGGCCAAGAATCCATATGCGGCTTACTCGTCGTCCTGTGAGCTCTGCAGGACCAAGACGGAGCAGGGGCGGAAGTATTGTCAGCGGTGTGCCTATCAGAAGAATGGTGAGATCATCATCCTTGATTTCCTAGTTTGATCTGTGCTGAAGCAGTTGCTGATGTGACCGATAGCTTGTCCGATGTGTGGGAAGAGTCTGGCTGGGAAGTCTGCAAAGGACCAGCCCGTGGTCCAGGGGCAGAAGTTCAACTTGAAGTGACGCAATGTGTTTCAGGTTTTTGGGTGTCCGTCTTCAGCTTGGTTTATTGTGGTTCCATTGGGATAGAATGTTAGGCGTGGCGTTTGGGTCGATTTTACTATGATACTTCAAGAGAAACCCAGATAATGAAGCTGGAACAATGATTGAGAAATCAGAAAGCTAGTTATACATTTCATACTACAGCAATATATGCAATTCAGTGACCTATAAGTGGAAACGGTCAACACTCAACCCAAAGGAAATACTCCGCGCAACAGCTCTATCGATACAAATCTTCCTCCAGTCAAGCCAACGATAAAGATTATGGTAAATGCGATAGACGAGATTCTCTGTACTTCGAACATAGGCATTTACCGCTCAGCCAACATGTTCTTGATGTTACTGTAGTACTGCGGGAGCACGAATTTGGCAATCTCCTCCTTCGCCAGCCACTTGAAGTCCTGGAGGTTCTGCACGTTGGCGGACAGATCAGCCTGTCCAGCCATGATACGACCCTTCATGAAGAATGTCTTCTCGCCGAAGCATTGTTGGCCAGTTGCTGGGTCGGTCTTGGGGTGTCGGAAGTTGTAGACATGGTGGCCAACAGGGTGATAGCCAACCATCCAGGTGTTCATGTTCAAACCAGCAGATTGTGCAAGGGTACGCTCAGCGGCCTGTGCAGGCAATCAATTAGTATGCCAGGATGGCCATGCGCTCGATTTCAGACACTACTCACCAGGCGAAGGGTCTCCCAGGTCTCGACCGGCGAACTGGGGAGTTTCCAGAATCCCTCCTTGGTCTGGACAAGAAGATAGAGGGTTCTCTGCAAAGCCCGGTTCAAACTCTTCTGGTCGTTCTTCTGGTCCGCCTCCGTCACCCGGGGGAACGGTCTGGGAATCTCCTCCTTCTTGCTGGTATCTTGAGAAGTGGCATTGACAGTAGCCTCTGCATCCTGCACAAGCATCTCAATCTGATGCTCTGGTTCGGACTCAACATCTCCGACGAGCAATTCGTCGTTCCATGCTTCCTTCGAGTATGCGTTATACTTGCCGATATCGCGAGCGGGCGTTTGACGCTCCCGAATCTTACGCTTCCAGTCCTCATCAGCCGGAGTACCCCGCTTGAAATAGAAGTATTTTGTAAAAGGAAGTGCCAGTCGCTCGTTCAACCGTTTCTGGTAGAAGAAGTACGCCTTTTCGAATGGTGTGAGATCGCGGGTGATTTGCGGAGGACGAGATAGGACCACGCCGGCCTTGATTATGTGTGTAGGCTTGACGACGGGGAAGGTAGAGGCAGATGTTAAAACGGTTTCTGAAGCTGAACTAGGCGCAGCAGTGGAGGCATGATTGCGGCGAACGAATGTCTCTTGACAGCTTCTGCAGACTCGGGAGTCGACTATTGAAGGCCCTGAAAAAGAAGTCAGTGAACAACTTAGACCAAGTACATAAAAGTCGATTATTGCGTACTCAATACAGACGCTATGCGCCTGGCGCCATTGGGTCCTGAAGACATTTTTAAATGCAGCGACTGGACTCTGTCCTCGTCAACAAAGTCCGTCTCCGATAATTGTTAAGAAAAGTTGGCGGTCACCTGTCTGCCGCGGAACCGCGCTAGTCCCGCACGGGCTAGAATATCAGGTGACCTAGGCCTTTTTCCTCATTTTTCATCCGCGATCTCTCCTGTTTCTTTCTTTTCTCTCCACAGCACCTTTTCCTTATCGTCAACTGCGTTATGATTCTTCTACAACCAGTCGATCATTTACCGGTGCTCAGAGAGAGTAGGCGGCAATTTTCGCTAGCGGTACCTTCTTAATTCAAGGTGTACTGTTAGATAGACGCTGCGTACATTCTGCTACACTGCCGATTTTGGGGACATTGTAATCGACTATGCTTTGGTATTGGTGACGCCCTCGCGCTCGTTCCCGTTTCCAATCGATTGACATCTCTATGTACAATCAAGAGAGCTTTGAGCTATGCGTAGTTGGACTTTTGTACCGGTGCCTGGAATTCACGACGCGCCCATCACGCACACTCTTTCCAATGTGCCAAATACTCGCAACTTGTTCCCGTAGACTTTCCAGAACTCGGCTCCCAGTCGAGGAATGAGCTCGCCATTAGCAGCTTTCTGCATGACCTCGACAGAATCGCTAGGGCCCAATGACAATCTACGGTTATCAATGGGTATATTACTGTCGACTTCATCCATGGCCTCTTCAATTTCTAGTAGATCAAATCTCGTCCCGAGGACTCTGGTCTTTGGCGCTTTGAGAGATTCTGTGCCGCTTGATCTCGTCTTCTGCTCAGAAGTCTTCTTTGCGCTTCCGGGACTCATTTGGAATGTGCCCTCAGCATAGCTCTCAATTGCAACCTCCTGATACGTTTGCTGGAGGTTCGAGGTGTCTTGAGCATCTTTGGTGGACTTCCGTTGCGGTAGATCTACCGGGCCCGAAGACTCTGTGGACGCCCCTCCATCACGGAGCTGAGCAGACAGCCTGATAAAAACTTGAGCAGTGAGCAAGCTGTCGTAGCCTGCTTCATGTTCAATCTTCTGAGTAGTATACTTGGAATATTGCGGGTGTATGCCTATTGTCTTTCTTAGCCCTCAATTCGAGCGGACGATTAAGGAAGTCATGCGCACTGATTTTCGGGATTGCTTTCTTAGCCAAATTATCATTCAGCTCTGAGAGCGATGACCTGGGATTGATGGAACCGCAGTTATGTGTGGCCATGTATTTGGTGTCCATCAAGACCGGGAACAGTTCATGCGCCATCGATTGGAACTCCTCCACTTTGTGTGGAAGTGGCCCAAAAAAGCAACGGCAAAAGTAAATAAGATCTGAGAAAAGGTTATGGCCAATAAGAACAGGCCGATGCTCTTTCAATCGCTGCTTGAGTTTTTCTGAGAACTCCTTGAGAGGATATTTGGATTCTACAGCGGCCGAGCTCGCCATGATACCCATGAAGTAGCCGGAATCGAGATTGGTCAGATCACCCCCAGCTAAAGCCTCAGCTACCCATCTAAAACCTGTCTGCTTCCACGTGCGCTCCTGAACTCTCGTCATTCTTTGCTCGCGGACGGATCTCTCACGTTCCTCGTTGTAATCGATGATTTGGATGAAATCAGGTTTGCTGATTGTCACCAGTGAGGGATACTCCACCTCTATCAACTGGTGAACAAGCCTTTTCTGAAACCTGTTCAAGGCCGAGGGCAGAGACTTGGAGGACTGAGAAACACCGATGCGAGTTGGCGGTGGGATGTTCAGGTACTCTTCACGTATCTGGCACAGTGATTAGCTTCATCAAAGAACCCAGTGGAGGTTCGTCTTACGGCTCCCAGTTCAAGCCAGTCATCTACGAGACGTCGAACCGCTTTTAGGAAAGCTAATGATTCATGTTCAGTCTCTTTGACGTCAATCGAAGTGTGCATTGCAACGCGATCACGTCTTTCGATGGCTTTGGCAATAGCTTGTTCCTCTTCCTCCCGAGACAGGTATTGGACGCCCTGTTTCAAGACGGAGTCGATGCTGAACTTGTTCTCGAGTAGGAACTCAATAGCTGTGCAGATTTTGTTAAGCTTTCTATGTCTGTAACTAAGACGACAATCGACTGGACATACCGCCGCTTTGCATGGACCAGTCTCTCTCCACTTCTAGTCTCTTGTCGATAATCGGATTTAAGTATACGTTGTAGGGTTTCAAAGTATACGAAGCTGTCGACGGTCAAAGTCAATAGTCAAAATTCACAATGAAGGGTAAGAACTGAAGATCTGACCATTCTCAATATCCTCGTGACAGATTGTCAACCCGACCTGTAAGATCTGGTACTTATCGGCTGAGTTCTTCACTTCTTCGTAGCGATCCTGGAGGGTCTGGGATCCTCTGTTTGGGTTCGAAGAAGCAGTAGCAATCCCAGAGAATTCGAAGTCCATGGATACAAAGCAGCATGTTGCCAGATCATCCAGGATCCGGGGAAGATGATAAGGGAATGATTGAGCTGTTACGTCCATCTTTTCAGTGGTCCGGCTTCTGGACTAATCTATAGGAGATCGAGAGCTGGGAGAGATGAAAACAAACAGAACAATGAAAGAAAAGAGTTCAATTAGGAGGAAGAGAACGTTCCATCAGTATACCCGACTGGTTTTAATCGGAGTGTTGATCAAATCAAGGTGGATGAAGTAGCGCCTGTCCCCGATCGACAGGTACTGAAGCAAGCAAGTCTCGTGAGCTCCGCGAACTTCTTCATCATCAGTGGGTTCTCGCTCAGATATGTTCGATCCAGCAGCGAGGATTGAATATTCTTTTTGCAGTCGCAATGTCGAAGAACAATCAGTTTCCTGATGGTTAGTTTGATAATCAAGATCATGATACTCCGCAAACTAACTATTTTACCAAATCCGCATCCCGTGACATCAGCAAGACCCCAGACTGAGGCAATGGCCGAGCCGAGGGAAAGCAGTTAACCCCAACTCTGTCATTCGGAGTCTAGCGACTAGCAACCACCACTCACAAGCTTTATGCATCCTTGCGACAGCTTCAATTTATGATATTTACCCGACTTTAACACTCCTGCCACCATTGTTGAAACTTCTCAAATCATCCATTCCTTCCGACTTTACATTGATTCTTTCTCACTGATCGCATTCTCCGCTGGCGGTGAACAATGGCCGAAGATGGGTCGTACATGTCGACGTCTCAGTCGCAACTTTCATCCTCCACCTCGTCTCTGTCTCCCTCAAAGTTGTGCTCAAGGACATACAAGAAAGCTTCAGGACTCTTCCTGACACGACGGTTGCCAGAGGCCTTGGCCGCTCTTGAACCTGCCATAACTGTTCCGCAAATTCATGATGAGCGATACGTCAATGGTGACGACTCAACGCCGCCTATCGCTTCCGCCCAAAGTACCTGGAGAATCAAAGTATGGAACCTATATATCACTCTCTTGAGTTCCATTGTCGACTTGGGGCCTGAGGAAGGGAAAAATCAATTCGGTCAGAAGGAGTGGAAGTCCATCTCGTCTCAGGTG